GCAAGGTAAAGGGTGTTTTGGGCTGAGCACACTCTTCACTGAACTCCCTTTGTGCAGTGTAATCAGCCGCAGTCTCAGAGCCAGGTGCACACACAGGTGACTCAGGAAGTAACAGCAAAACAATCAAACCTAATTCCACCAACTTACCTATGACTAGAGATTTTAACTCTTTTTTCAGGATTCATTTAGCAAACAAGACATTAAAGTGCACAGCTATCTCGACCAAATTATCCTTTCTGCACTTATTAATCTGATCAAGCGACGGATTTATCAAGAAGCTGTCAAGATCAAAAGATGCTATTTTACTTACCTAAGCACACACACAAAATCTTACCTTTATTAACAATAACTTTTTGGATTTCCAGATCTCCTTTAATGGATTAATATCCCAGATGAGCCCCCATTTATGTTACGACCAGCTCGATAGGGGAGAAGGGAAGTAACATAAAACAAATGGTCAATTCAAGTTATTTATTAACACAGGTAAAACTGGCAATAACAAAAAAAGAGAGGCAGCAAAGGCCTAAAAGGAGGTATCAACAGGTTGCCAAAAACACAAAGAGACTCTAACCTAGAGTTATTTAAACAGCGAAAGTAAAGGTCTGCTCACATAGGGCAAAAAAAAAAAAAAAAAGGAATAAAATACAACAACTCAGCTCTAGTGCTGCTAACAAAAGAAAAGAAGCTAGGCGTGTGCAAAGATCAGCAATATGCCTCACAAGGTTACTAATGTCCACAATTCACAAAGACTCTAGGTCTGAAAAAGAGAGTCATGGGAGCTCCACTGGCTACAGCGTGCTCCTCGATCTTCTTCTTCTTCTTCTGTTTGGTTTAATGGCAGTTTACCCCTTAGTGTCTGGAGCATTACCGACACCTACTGAGTCTACGGTGGAACAGGAGATTAGGCAGTTAAAGACTATAACCCCTTGGTGACGGAGACTCCTTAATCCTTTCTATTAACCTTGTATCCCGCACAAAATCCATCAGTCGCCCCAGCCTTGCCCTATTGTCCACTTTTAGCAAGTTTTCTAACTTAAATGATTCCTTATCTTTCTCAATTGCTGCTTTCAAGGTCTTCCTCTCTTCTTCGTATCTCATACATTCCATCAGCACATGCTGCACTGATTCCGTTACCCCACACTGTTGACATTTTCCATCTGTGTGTTTACCTATTTTATTCAATGTTCCATTTGACCCTGTATGACCGATCCTTAACCGTGTTAATGTTGTTTCTTCCTTCCGGTTCCTTCCAATCCTTCTTCCCTCTCCCACCTGTCTCTGTATTGAAAACAAATGCCTGCCCGTTTCTACCGACTCCCAATATTCTTGCCACTGTTCCAGACTGTATTTTTTTATGAGTGCCTTTCCTTCTGCTTTACTTAACCTGACTTGTAGGTCTATGTCCTGTTGTCTTAACGACTGCTTTGCTAACATATCCGCCTCTTCATTTCCCTCTATTCCCACATGGGCAGGAACCCACACAAAACTCACACCCAGCCCTCTTTCCCAGATTTCATACAGGTTACTGTGTGCCTCATATATAAGATCTAGTCTACAAGATTTCATGGTTTGTTGGCTTGAAAGAGCCGCCCAGCTGTCTGATGCTATGACTGATTTGTCCTTCCCTTGAGCTCTTATCCACTGTAATGCCATTATTATTGCTGCTATCTCTACTGCATACACTGATTCATAATCTGAACACCTCTGTTTTATTCTAATCTTTTCCGTAGGGATATATGCTGCGGCCCCAGTTCGGCCAGTATCTGGGTCTTTTGATCCATCTGTGAATACTATTGGAGTATTGCCATATCTCTCTTCCAAATATTCCAAGGCTACAAACCCAGCTGTACTTTGTCTCTTCTCTGCCTTAAGAAGTTTTTTGATCTCAAAATCCACTTCTGGCATTACAAAAAGCCATGGGGGAATCCTTGACACTGGAACCGTTTTACAGACCTGAATCCGATTTAAACCCGCCCTTTCCGCAACTTCATTCCCAATTCTACCAAAACTGGCTGCGCTAATGTTTCCATATTCCCAACATTCCCTCAGGGTACTCTTTGTGGGGTGATCCTCCCTGTGTCCCTTTATATTAATCCAGTATGCCAACATAATTTTCATTCTTCTAATTCTCAGTGGCGGTTCTCCTGTTTCAACCTGTATAGCTGCTACTGGGGAGGTTTTATATGCCCCACAACATATTCTCAGCCCTTGTGCTTGCTGCACCTCTAATTGCTCCTCGATCTGCAGGTCTGCTGGCCTTTTATCCACTCCGCCAAGTGGCTCCTCATGATTGGTGGAAGCCTTCAGCCAGTCAGTCTCTGCCATCTCCAGGTGGATGTGATCAGGCAATTAGCTCCTTCTGCAGCTGTGGCAACCTGTGAGCTGCAGGCAGCACTAACACACACACACACGCACAAATGAACGCACGCACGCACGCAGGCAGGAAGGAAGGCCCAAGATTTGCCACAATATGGTGGCGGCCGTAACAATATCACTAATTGTTTTTTTTTAGTAAATATTTCATTAGTATAGCTTCCAATTAAAGCAAGATCTCTATAGTCCTAAACCATACAGAACTCTTTGTGAGAGCACAAGAGCACTTTTTGATCAACATAAGGCTTCATTTTTTACCTCTGTCTTGACCTCTCCTGTATTTGACCTCTTCCAGTGAGCTCACTGTTAAAAAGGATTTTAGGTTTTTGCTACCTCAGCTCACTTTCTTAAGTCAGTTCAACTTAAAAGTCAGTTTTACTTAAAATATCAAGTTAAATAGTGTCCAACTAAACAGTTTGACCAGAGTAGTTTAAGTAACATAGATTTCCTTGTTGATACAACTAGATGTAAGTGTGTGCACAAATGCACAGGAAACCCCTTACAGTCACCGGGGTGAACAACTTTCAATGCCATGTGCTGCAAGAGACACTTGGTTTGGATCAGTCATCCCCAAGGTAAGGACTTATTTTTGCTGTTCTTGATTGTTTTTCATCGAAAAGCAAATTGAATTTTTTTTTTTTTATTGAACGATACTCTGCAAATTTTACATAGGGTTGTCAAAGTAACCCATGTACCAAAATTTTCTAGTAACTCAACCAAACATTTTTACTTTTGTGAGCATTTTAGCTATCAGTGCTACCACACATGATGTTGCTAATCTTGGGATTTATATTTGTGTGCATTTGTGAATTTCTATGATTGTGAGCACATTAAATTACATTAGCAAGTAAGCATGTCAATGTTTACAATTTTTTCTACATGTGTAAATGGGGCTTCTAAACGACGTGTACCTGGTTACACGTCGGAGATTTCTTTCTAATGCAGTTGCGCTGTATAACCACAAGAAGCTTCTATCTCCATTCAAACACCCCTTTATCCTATTAAATCAAAGCCATTCCAGTAGTTATCAGACAAAAACGTATTCTTGTAGACCCACTTCAAATAGGTACTAAACTATAGCCAACATCACAGATAAATCACATAACTTCATTTAACATTTTAAGGCTTAGGGCTACTTATGATAGAAAGTAAAGCAAGTTAAAAATAAAATCAGTTATAATTTTGAGAGACAGGAAAAAGTACCGTGAGCTAACTGTCGCTCTGCAGGGAATTTCATAGCCTGGCTCCAGATATTTCATCAACTGAAAAAAATCAGTCATCCTCAACCACTGACACAGTCTGCATGTCGAGGGCCACCATTTTAGCTATGAAGTTGCTGATATGCTCACTCCATGTCTTGTCACATTTCTTCACCTTGTTGTATGTATAATCACTCATGCTAGCCTGTGAACTGCTAACGGTAGCACTGATGCCAGCAGCAGTCTCTCCCTCCAACTTGTTCGGGTGTTTCCATTGCAGGTGCTGTTGTTGTAAGCCAACTTTGCCTGACATAGTCTACACTCAACTTGATTTCCACTGGCAGTTTGTTAAAAAAAACTGCAACACAGTGCTCCACTTGTTGATCGCCGTCATTGCGTCCCCGCGACACTGGCTGTGCAGGCTGAGGGATTTTTTTTTTAATCAACACAACATTGTGCCCCATTCATCTATTATGCGGATAACTTCACTAATTGGGAACATTTAAGTGTATACTTAGTTAATGTGATTATCTGAAACTTTGAGAGGAGGCCAGATGCAGCGCAAGATGGCGGACCCAAAGACCAAAAACCGCAACAAAAAACCGCCATAAGTTTCCGCATTACCTCCGATTGGCGGAAAAACAATTACTTCCGGTGGAAAGGCTTTCTCGTTGGCGGACTCCCGGCGCCGAAATACTTCAGGTAGTCGGATTTAGTCGCCGGATCCTTTTTTTTTTGCTCCGTTCATTCCATAAGAATCGAATTAAATTTATTATTGAGCTAAAAATCAAAATAAAACGTTTATGTATTAATTATGACTACTGTTTTGTTCTGATTTAATTCTGAAGTTTACAGTAATATGTATATATAGCCTGATGTCCTCATATTCTGATAATTTGTCAGAATAGGTAAATGTATGTAGAAGTTATCATCTTACTCAAATTCTTTTGTAAGAGTTTGCTACAAGTATGGACTGTTTTAACCTCTCGTTACACATCATATAACAGTGTTTTCTAACTTTTCTCTCCAATAGCTTTATTACACAGCACATCAATGTTTCTTAACTTCTCTGTGACCTTGTTTCTCCACTCCTATTAGGACCTTGTTTAATGTCAACAATGTTGCCCTGACCCTCACATATTTTCTGTTGTTCATAATTATGTTAAATGAGAGTGCTTATGTTGCTGCACAAATTTACTCCCCCCATCCTTTAGTAACATTGTGTAACCAGGGACATAATTTATGAAATGGTGTGCTTCCTGGTGAACCTCTTCAGGATTGCTTGACTGTGCAAAATCCAAGTATACAATAGTTGTAGAGACACAAGTCACATGATCTCTTTAAGGTTCAGAAGAGCCATATAGCAAAAACAATTGAATAGCGATATCATTACAGACTGTGTAAAGAAATGGGAAATTGTCATACAACTGCTTTGAAGATTTCTTTAATTTTTTTCAAACAAAATTGTGAACAGTAAAAAAAAAATATACAAAATTCAGCACGTCGGTGTGGTGGGGGGCTCAAAACACATTGCCACAGGCCATCATCAGCTCCGCTCTGAACCGGCTGATGCCATGCTCCTTCAGTGCTTTGATCAAAAGCTGAAAAACAGGCAAATAATGTGAACAATTGAAGTTATGCAGTATGGGTTAATTGTTGTTCTTGAGCTTTCCAAATGAATAAGAACAACCTCTTAACAATATCATCAATTTTCAAAGCAAGCTATATAGTTTGATCTACTCACCTCTGGGAGCATGACGTCAAAAACGAAATCAAGCAGATGAATATTGCCTGTCTTTATTTTTTTAGCAATGTTTGTTGCCTCCTCAATGAATCGCAGGAGCTCGTACATCTATTGAAGAAAAACACACAAAGTAAACACCTTTCAAATGTAACACCCCTGAGAGTAAAAATACTCATGATGGATGGCATTTTTACTTACGCGCTGCTCACTCCAACTTAATGTCTTTATCTTGAGGTGCTGCTTGAGTCGGAGTGAGGTGGCGGGATTCCTCCAAAGGAACATTTGGTTTGAGCGGAGCTTTCCGGACAGGAGATCATCATGTAATGTCTGAAACCAAAGAGCAAGAGACAAAAATGTAATCATCTGAAAAAGAAACGGTGGCTTTAACAACTGATAGTGCATTCAAAAGCAACCTTGATCTGTGTCTTAGAAAAGACAGCATGAATTCCTCAACTGTCAACAGCATCCTTGATCCTGCAGAGAAATAAGAAAAGAGCAAGCCCTCATTTTTTCATCCTTTGAGCCTCGTATTTTTGACTGATACTATGTTTCCTTGATAAATTATGTTATACCGAGGATGCTCAATTGAGTCCTCGCACCCGCAGTCAAACGGCTCCATTTCCATCCCAGCACAATCCAGATGCAGCCAGCCCCTGCACGTCTTGCACTGGACCCATTTGATCAATTTTACCTCAGGGTAAAGCAATCTGATCAAATGAGAGACAAACATAATATTAAACAAACACGCTGTCCAATTGATTATACCTCTGCAGCACATTTGAATGTATAAATAATTTTACCACATGATTCGTGCATTTAAACTATATGTAAAAGTGGTCACTTCATGGAAAATCACTGAATAGGCCCCGATAATTGCATTTATTAAATTGAGTCTGCAACACACCTCTCTCCTGTGTTGTCGGATGTCTGGTAGACACAGAATTGCATCGACTCTGCCATGCACATTCTTCGGACATCCGATGCCGTCTGCGTCATGGTTTCCTTGACAAGGCAATTTGAAAAGTAATATCAATTACCAAATACATCGAGACAATGTTGATCCATACAACTGTGTGCATTTTGAAGGACTCCCACTGAGACAATACTGTTTTTCGAAGGCAATTTTCTAACCTCTATGTCCTGCTGCTCGGCCTTCCTCTTTAGTCTGAAGACCGGAGTATGCTTTCCAGCAATGAGCTGTTTACATTCTTCGGTCCAGTGGGCGAAGATTTTCCCACAACTGTAATGACAATATATCTTTAAGTACAATATATTGATTGTCTTCCAGTTAATTAGGGCATCTAGTTTACTTAAACTGTCTACCTGTTCAAAGAATGGTTCTCCAGGAGCAACAGGCACCACCATCGCCGCAAAACAGGCATGTCATGCTGAAATTGTTGTTTGTATTTCATTTTAGTGCACAATACAAAATACAACCGTGAGGATGACACTGCGTGTTGAAAAGTACTTACAACTGAGTAGTCAAACTGTGAGTCCAGAACGATGTACATGGCAGACTTAAAAAAAAAAAAAATTATGAGACTACATGTGAGATAACATTAAAAAAGTCCATGTTGGAAAGTTATTCTAGATACAATATTTGTGCATTACAGCTCGTTATGACCTACCATCAACATGAAGATTCCACAGTCTGAGCCAAAGTCCTGGCTGGGGAAGCCCTGATTAAAATAATATAAAATAATATTTTCCTTACCGTTGTTTCGCTGTACAAATGCGCATTGTAAGGTGTGTGCTCCTGTAACGACGTCGATTGAGTTCTTCTTCTTCTGTAAATTTTGCCGTCAGAAAGTGTAGGTACATACCGCCACCTACTGTTCTGGCATCGCAAAGCAGAAGTTCAAAGTTCATGTTTTGGGTCCGCCAATCGGAGGTAATGCGGAAACTTATGGCGGTTTTTTGTTGCGGTTTTTGGTCTTTGGGTCCGCCATCTTGCGCTGCATCTGGGTACTCTTGGAAACTTTCAGGCAACATACTGTTGAGAAATGATTGAGGGGGAGGAAAAAAAAAAGACGTGTAAACAGCTATTGATTTTTCTAAACAGTTATGACTTGTTATCCGTTTACATGTGTAGATGTTGACACCCCTATTAGCAAGTATCAATTTGAGAAAAATACCTTGAGAGTGACTCTGTTGGTGAGACAATCGTTTCAAGAAAATTGTGGATAGTCTGTGGATAAATGAGTTTATGTGTAGATGGGACCATGGGGTAATTGCGCATCTGACCGCATTGGCAGGATTCGCTCAGCAAGTAACATACCCTGTGGCACACGGTTATGTTTACTAATTTTTGATGACTGCGCAGCAGAATGCTACACTGTAAAACTGGACTGCCTGGGGGATCTGCAAAACAGCATGATAGAGGTATCCAATGTAAAGCACTTTGAGGGTCTCTGATAAAGCGCTATATGAAATCCGATGCATTATTATTATAAAGCAAGCATAGGTATTACAGTCTGCGAGTAAACAGGATGGAGGTTTTTAACCGTTATTTCAGCTGCTATAAAGTCATTAATATATACATGGATCACTTTCAAGGTATTGCAGAAAGTATTCATGGGCATCGTGAGCGGCAATTGTTCAGCAAAAGTTCATAGACTCCGAAACAAGATGCTTTAAGGCAAAGAGTAGTGGAACCTTGGCCCAGATAAGCGTAGCAATGACCATTTTAGCTGGTTTAAGTATACAGATGTCTGTACAGTCAAACAGTATGAAAATCTCATCCAGCAAATATACCGCCATATCTGAGAATTTCTTTCAAATCAAAGTCTATTAAAGTATTTTTATTTGACAGGACCAACAAAAGACCAAAGACCAGATTCCAGGTCCCAGGACAGGGCTTCCTCAGGAAAGAGAAATGAGAAATTTTGACTTTTTTTATAACCCCATTGTGAGAGGAAAAGTAGAAATTATGTGAACCGTTGAGCAGATAAGCAAATTGTTAACATTTGCCAAACTGTTTAATCGTAATTATTAATAGATTATGAAAATAATTTCAATAAAATCCCCTTGAAATGTTGGATAATCAATCAAGCACTGTAAGGAAGAGGGTCATTAAAACAAGCTTACATGATAGGCTACATATTTTTAACTTTGTAAGATCACACACACAGTTTCCTTCTAATACCATTGATGAGGCCTCGAAGGACCAACGCTGCAAGACCCTTGTGGCTCTCAGTGAGGTGGTGAAAGCCCATCCTCCTAAGAGGGCACCCACCGAGGCTCCTGAGTCAGGCCCATCAAAGTTCCCGTGTATTTCATTTAAACTGTGGTGCCAAGATCCTCCAGGGTTCTCTCCCGAAGGAACTGTGGAGTCCAGGCCAGGTGTGCAGGTGTGGTTCCCCGAACCAGCTGTGACCCCCAGACCAGCTGTGGCCCCACACGCTGCTCCACAGAGGTGCCCATGGAGAGCAGCTCTGGTCCCTTGCGCTGCCCCTGGACAGGGCCCTCCAAAGGCAGCTCTGGCCCCCAGTGCTGCTCCAGGACCTAGTTCCCTGAAAGCAGCTCTGCCCCCCAGTGCTGCTTCAGGACCAGGTTCTCCCCAGGCAGCTCTGGTCGCCACTGCTGCTCGAGGACAGGGCCCCCCAGAGGCAGCTCAGGCCTCTAGTGCTCCTCCAGGACCGGGTCCTCTCAAGCCAGCTGAGCCTCGCCCACTGTGGGAAGTCCCTGAACCAGAGTGGGCGAGAGAGGTAAGACTGTACATGGAGGAGAGAGAGGAGTGGTTTTAAGGTGGTGGAGGAAGAAACCAGCTCTCAAACCAAAAGGTAAGTATGCAGGTAATAATAAGTAATTTCATAGTAGTAGTAGTAAGTAACTTCACTCTTTTAACATATAAAACTAGCATTATTCTCATTAAAGTTAAACTAAGTGTCATTCATTTGTAGAAAAGTTGCTAATGATTATCTGAGGTGAAATATTGAGGTTTCTTTACTGTGTTAAGTGTTTTAGTTCTTAAAAGTTTAAAGTAAGAGTATGTGTCTGTGTGTGGGGGGTGTTAAGGATTTAAATTGTATTTAATGGGGGGGGGACAAGAACTGGACTCAGGAAAACTAAACTTTTTTAAGGGTAGACAAAGCAAAGAGGAGAAGGAGAGGAGGAGGTGGAGGAGAGGAGGTGGAGGAGGGCCAAAGGTTTTCAACTCTCATGAAAAGGTAAATAACAATACTTGTTAACCTCTATTGTTCCCATCATATTAATTTTTCCTTTTTTTTTTTCCTGGTACTTTTACTTTCCTTGATTGAATTTTTACTGACAGAGACAGAAAAGAGTGGGGAGGAGGTGAAGGAGAGGAGAGGAGGTGGGAGGGCCAAAGGTTTTTAACTCTCTCAGGAAAGGTAAATAACAAACCATTTATATGCCATCACAGTTCAGCTAAATCACGTACATGGTTATTTATCTTTGTATCTATTGTTCACTTGAACTTTTCTTTTTTTTTCAGTTTTTCCTGCAGAGAGAGAAAAGGAAGACCAAGCAAAGGAAAGAGGAGAGAAAGAATGGGAAAGGAGAGGAGAGGAGCTGGGAGGGTAAAAGATTTTAAACCGTCAGAGGAAAAAGTTACATTAAAATACATGTTTACTCTATCATAGTTCCACTGAATTACATACATGATTGTTCATTTTTGTATGTATGTATGTATGTATGTATTGTTTACTTAAACTTTCTGTCTTCTGTCCCTGCAAAGAGAGAAAAGGACCAAGTGAAGGAGAGAGGAGAGGAAAGGATGGTAAAGGAGAGGAGACATAGAAAAAATTTTTTTTTTTTTCTTTTTTTTTTGTGTCGTTTTCAGGGCTGGAAAAAGCTAAAGGGAGAAGGAGAGGAGGTGGTGAGGGAGAGGAGGTGGTGAGGGCCAAAACTTTTTAACTCCCACAGGAAAAGGTAAATAACACTTGCTTTTAAATGTCTTCAGTTTTCTCTCTTTTTTTTTTCTTTTACATATTTTACTTAAACGTTCCTTTTGTCTAATTTTCTTACCGAAAGAGAGAGGAGATATCTAGATGGGAGGAAAGGAGTTTACACCTCATGCTAAAAGGTAAGCGATTATTTCTCACACTTAATCATGGTTCTTAATTAAACTAAACTTTTTATTTTTACTTCATTCATGCTTTTCAATAACCAGAAATTTCTCATGTTTTTTCTTGTGTGGATAGAAAAGGAAGTTGAGTGCAACATAACTGCAACATAACTAGCACAGTAACCTGTGTGTGTTTTCTACTATTTTGGGTCACAGTTGTGGATGGGAAGTTCACTTTGCCAGCTCAAGTGGGGTGTAATTTAGTTGGGAGGTTGGCATTGACTGTACCAACATAGATATAAAATATCTAGGTTTCAGTTTCCAGTGACCTGTAATATCTGAGAATTTTTTGTTGCTGAATAGCTTTGGTCTGGACCAAAGGTCTGTGTTGAACTACAGACATTGATATTTCTTTTAACATTGTGCTTGTGTGACTAAAATGGACATGAGCTCTGTGTCAAACATCATTTCAATCAAAACTAGTCCAAATTACTTCACTGACCTTCAACACTTTCACCACAACACCTCATTATGAGCATTTATTTCAACTCTGCAATGTTTATTCATGTTAAAGTCATTATTTCCACACAGTCAGTTTTCTAACAAACCTCCTGTGGAGCCAGAAGTCGTTGCTAGGTGATCACAGTCAGATCTGTGTGCCTTTTTCTATACCTACAGTTTGAATTTACAAGTTACATAACAGTCCACATTTCAATTTTGTGCAGAGTCTGAGGTAACACGAGCAGGAGTGGTATAGCAGGTCTTTAGATGTACCGAAACCTTGGGCTGTCTTTACATCTGAGAATATAGTTGAAAACACACTTACAGGAGCCTAAACATATTTTTTCAAGTATATGAAGAGGACCGAAATTCATATTGATGCTTTTTTTTATGATATAGAAAAGCAAACAAGACCATTAGGGACAAGATTAAATGAAGCTCCAGCATAAGTTCAGTCAGGAAGATTATGATAGCCATCACAGTTGCATAGGTGTCTTTTCCACTCCCACACCTGCTCACTTTTCATGACATCTTCACTCAGAGCAGTCATTGGTTAATCAGCCACTTCACCAGTGTCTTTCACTATCCAATAGCATGGTAGCACATGCTCACAGTCAGCCTATCCTCTTTCTGCTCTCATTTTAAAAATGACTCTCTTCTCTGCCTCCAGTTCTGTCTTGCCGCTGGTTTGTGCGCAGCACCCTCCATCTCCCCATCTCCACCCAATCTCAGCAGAACCAACAGTGCCATCATTCATCCATCCGGTCCCAGCAGTCATCAGCCGCCACCACCACCAGCTTTAGGACTCCATTGGAGGATTTTCCTCCTGCCGCTCAGATCAGGCATCCTATGATCTCACAAATCCCATGAAGTCCAAACGCCAAAAGCTTTTTTTTTTTTTTTTGACAGAAGTCTCTTATCAGCCATGCAGAGGACAAAATATGTCCACAAGGGGCACCAAAACTGTCACAAACTGAAAGTTGCAAATATAAGCTTTAAGTATTGCTGTAGAAAAACTCTACATTGACAGAAAAAATATTTGCCTAAAAGAGTACACTTTAATAAAAATATTAAGTAATTGGATTACATTGAAGAACAGACTCTTTGAGTAACTATATAACTATATCATCATAAACTATATCTTCTATCTTAATAGCAGATAAAGATTTCACAGAGATGCCAGTATGTCTTGGACTGAGATTATATTATTCATAGTAACAAAACAAGATGAAACACTTGAAAGCATGTGAATGATGGGTTATGGTCTTCACAGTTAGCAGGTCATAATCAGACTGATTTAAGACTCCGCAATTAAAGGGTTTAATGAAGAATCAGCATTTATTATTGTTCAT